GAGGTGCAGAGGAAAAAACCCACATGGGTGGACTGGAGAGGCAGTGATACAGTACTGTGGGCAGATGCGCCCAGGCTACTTGTCTGCTAAAGACGTGGCTGTTCCACCATGCTGAAGACACAACCACCCCCAGCAGTCCCTTGCACCACTTGCTCGCGGGCCGCATAAGAGTCCTGGATGGGCCAGTTCTGGCTAGGGATGTGCATTCGGTTCGTCCAAACCGAATGCACGCCCAAAAAAGGGCCATTCGGCCCCCTTTCGGGCAGCTGTGGGCCGAATCAGATTCTCTGATCTGATTCGGCCTGCCGCCGAAAGCAGCTGCCGAAATTCGGCAGCGGCCCAAAAAGGGGCACCCAGCCCCAGGGAAAGCAAGGGGAGACATTTAAACGCATCCCCACACCCTCCCCAGCCTTTCCTAGCTCGCTTACCTTGGCAGGCGAGCTAGGAAAGGCGGGGGGGGCCTCTGGAAGCCTTTAATCTTTAAACCCCCAGGATTTAATATTTAAACCCCCAGTCACGCTGCAGAGGCGGCATGCTCCATTGCGGAGAGCCCGGGCAAGCCCCCCCCCCCCTGGAGGGAGGGCTTGCCCAGGTGCCCCTGGCCGAATCTGATTCGGCTGGCCCTGAATGAGCCCTGAATCGGCTTAAGTTGCCAAGAGTGGCATTCGGGGGTCATTCAGCCAGCCGAATCAAATTTGGCCCGGTTCAGCTGAACCGAATCGGGCCGAATTATTATTTTTTTTGCACACCCCTAGTTCTGGCCCCTGAGCCTTATGTTTGACACCCCTGATCAAATGTGTCATGTGAATACTTCTGCTCTACTTCAGTTCTTTCTGGTGGTTCCAGACTCCTAAAACCTTAATGCATTGGTTACGGACTGCCCATTTTGTCGACTGTACTGAATCACTATATGTCATCCACCTGGAGACCCTGGGAGAAAGGTGGACTATAAATACGGTAAATAAATAAATGGATGAATAAATCTTTGCTAGATTTTCAAGAGCTCCATTCTTCCCACCAAGTGACCATCAGTGAAGCGTCAGAGCCTCATAGGCCGCTTACCGATCTTCTGCGCGATATCGATGCAGATCTCTTCGGCACACGGTGACCCCTGGGTGTAAACCCTATACTGCTCCTCTTCCTCCTCCCCCTTCCAGTGAAGGTACACCCTCAGTCCTCCAGCCTGCGAGAAACGGCACCCCTCCATGTCAGACTCGCTGTGCTTCACTGCACAGTGGCAGAGCGGCATCCTGACAGCAGCCGTCCCAGCGTCCCTAGAGGGGGAAACAAAGAGCTTCCTTAAGAGCAAGGAAACAAAAAGATTTTCAAGAACCAAATGTAATATTTAGCAAGACCCGTGTGTGTATGTGTGTGTGGGAGCAGAAACACTCACTTACCCTTTTCTACCCCTACAACAGCAAGTAACTTCACAATTTAGAAAAGAGGACCAAAGGTTCACAAGTTTTGGCTGGCAGAAATAGGCCCAGGATCCTGGTGCCAGTTATGTCAAATCCATCTCATAAGTCCTGCTGGGTCAGACCAGTGGTCTATTTAGTCCAGCATGCGGTCTCACAAAGACGTCAGCCAGTCCCTCTGGAGGGCCAGCAACAGGGCAGAGAGGCCGAGGCCTTCCCCTGATAAGGACACCAGAAGAGCCCTGCTGGGTCAGACCAGGGAGGGTCCCTCCAGTCCAGCCTCCCGTCTCACTCAGGGGCCAGCCCCTCTGGAGGGCCAGCAACAGGGCAGAGAGGCCGAGGCCTTCCCCTGAGAAGGACACCAGAAGAGCCCTGCTGGGTCAGACCAGGGAGGGTCCCTCCAGTCCAGCCTCCCGTCTCACACAGGGGCCAGCCAGTCCCTCTGGAGGGCCAGCAACAGGGCAGAGAGGCCGAGGCCTTCCCCTGAGAAGAACACCAGAATAGCCCTGCTGGGTCAGACCAGGGAGGGTCCCTCCAGTCCAGCATCCTGCCTCATACAGGGGCTAACAAGTTCCTCTGGCCGGCCAAGAACAACACGGCACAGAGGCTGAATTCAAATCATACAACATTCACAATTAGCCCCTGGCTCCAAATTGCTTTTCAAATTGATTCTTTTGCACCACAGTAGGAAGGTACACAATTGAAATACCATCTGGGCTTCATGTATCTGATTTGGACACAAGGCAATACCATGTGAGGCCTCTACAGTCACTGATATTTATCAGAATATAATTTTCACTTGGTCCTATATTGCCTAAAATTATCATTTAAATAATTTTTTTAATGTATTTCTTTTATTTATATTTGAATTTACATCCCACCCTACCCCGAAGGGTTAATTGAGCCTATGTGTCACGTTTATGCTTGACCACTAAAGAAGGCTAGTAGGCCAAAATACAAACTACTCCCTAAATGGAGTTAATCAACAGGCTTCGACTGGTTGCCCCGTTACTCTGTTGCAGCAGAGGCAAACAGGAGTCTTGTGGCACCTGAAATGCAGGAACGTTTTATTTAAGCACCGAGCGTTCATGGACTAGAACCCCACCTCTTCAGAGGCCATAAGCGGATCCTCACGATGCGCTCATGTGATGTGGAGGGAACTAAACAACAGAAGAGTCAAAGAGCCGTGAATCGCGGGAAGTACAGAGGGAAACAGTGAATTCTCCGCTAACCAACCAAAATCCTAAGGCAGTTCACACCTGTCATGGGTGGGGTCTTCTGGGTTTCGGCAAGATGGTTAAGACACGTAGTCAGTAAGAAATCCTAAGGCTTCGTTTTTTTTTTTAAAAAAAGAAGAAACCAATGAAACTGTACCTACTTGTGCAGGGGAAGGAAAGGAATGCAAAAACAACAGGTTCTTTCGGCCCGAACATGCATGGACGAAATGAGCACACTCAGATATGCAAAAAGGGGTTCTCATCGCCACCGCGTGCCTGGCACTCAGATTTTAGAAGCCAAACTCCTGCAGAACCCCTGATTTTCTTACCGTTCTTGAAAACGTTTTCGGGGTGAGAAGCAGAGGGTGAGTGGAAGTTTCGGGGGGGGGGAAACCCCTCGCTTCCTTCAAGCCAAAAGACAACTTGTTTCCCCGTTACCTCTGCGGTGGAAACTGACGTCTAGTCACGGCTGACTTATGCAAACCTGTAGGATTTTCAAGGCGAGAGACGGTTCAGAGGTGGTTTGCCCTTGCCTGCCGCTGCGGAGCAACCCTGCACTTCCTTGATGGTCTCCCATCCAAGTACTAACCGGGGCCGACCCTGCGCTTAGCTTGCCAGATCTGACGAGATCAGGCCAGCTTGGGCCCTTTACCTCTACAGAAGGAGGAGGAGGAGGAGATTGGATTTATACCCTGCCCTTCACTACCCAAGGGAGTCTCAGAGCGGCTCACGAACTCCTTCCCCTTCCCCTCCCCACAACATACACCCTGTGAGGTAAAAGAAGAAGAAGAAGAGATTGGATGTATACCCCGCCCTTCACTACACAAGGGAGTCTCAGAGCGGCTCACAAACTCCATTCCTTTCCCCTCCCCACAACAGACACCCTGTGAGGTAAAAGAAGAAGAAGAAGAGATTGGATTTATACCCCGCCCTTCAGTACCCAAAGGAGTCTCAGAGCGGCTTACAAACTCCTTTCCCTTCCCCTCCCCACAACAGACACCCTGTGAGGTAAAAGAAGAAGAAGAAGAGATTGGATTTATACCCCGCCCTTCAGTACCCAAAGGAGTCTCAGAGCGGCTTACAAACTCCTTCCCCTTCCCCTCCCCACCACAGACACCCTGTGAGGTAAAAGAAGAAGAAGAAGAGATTGGATTTATACCCCGCCCTTCAGTACCCAAAGGAGTCTCAGAGCGGCTTACAAACTCCTTTCCCTTCCCCTCCCCACCACAGACACCCTGTGAGGCAGGTGGGGCTGAGAGACCTCAGACAGAAACTGCTCATTTTCAAGAACAGCTCTGACAGAACTACGGCTTGCCCAAGGTCACCCAGCAGCTGCAAGTGGAGGAGTGGGGAATCAAACCCGGTTCCGCGCACTTAACCACGACACCAAACAGGGACTAATCCTCGGCCTATTTATTCTACTTTACTTACTGGCTCCTATCCAACCGACCACAGCAGAACTCCGGTTTCCGCTGCATTTCTCTTACCCCTGGTAGTCCCCTCTGACTCTTGGAAAGACTTATGACCATGAGACCTGTACAAACAAACAGCCATGTGAAGTCAAGGGGCTGCAGTGAAGAGAAGGAGAAGAAGAGATCCGATTTATACCCCACCCTTCACTCGGAGAGGGGCTGCAGTGGGTCAGAGGTTAAAACGCTGAGCTGCAGACTGGAAGGTCTGTAGTTCGGCAGTTCGAGACCCGAGCGCCGCGTGACGGAGTGAGCTCCCATCTCTAGCCCCAGCTCCTCCCAACCTAGCAGTTCGAAAGCAAGACATTGCAAGTAGATAAATAGGTACCACTTCGGTGGAAAGGTTACAGAGTTCCGTGCGCCTCGCCGTTTAGTCATGCCGGCCACATGACCACAGAGACGTCTTCAGACAGCGCTGGCTCTTCAGCTTGGAATCAGAGACGAGCACTGCCCCCTAGAGTCGGATTCGACTAGCTTTCGAGCAAGGGAAAGCTTTACCTCTACCTCATTCGGAGTCTCAGAGCAGCTTATAGTGTCGTCTCCCTCCCCCTCCCCACAACAGACACCCCGTGAGGTAGGTGTGGCTGAGAGAGCTCTTTCCAGAACTGCCCTTCAGAGAATGGCTCTGAAAGAGCTTGTGACAGACCCAAGGTCACACCGGTAGCTGCACGTGGAGAATCAAACCTGGTTCTCCCAGATTTAGAGTCCACACTGCTAACCACTACACGAAACTGGCAAAAGGGGGGGAAGGGATTATCTCAGCCCTTTCTCCCCTCCCTCCTCCCTGCAGCCCGCAGCCCACCAACCATTCATTCACCAGTCCAAGGAGGTCCAAAGGGAAGGGGAGACAGGCAAATCTGAAAGCCTCCCACTGGATTACGAGCCCCGGTTTTAAACTCCTCCCCCCGGATATTAATTTGCTCAAAAGTAGAAACGACTGTTTGAGGAAATACAAGCAAGTCGACAGAAAACACAGCAAAGAACCGGCAAGTGTAAATCGTGGCAGGCAAAAAAAAATCGAAATGCAAAAACCAGTCAGGATGGAACCGGGGTGCAACCTGACACTGACGTAGATCTGCTTGCCCGCAGGCACGGCACCGCGTGCAGAGATGCTGGCATGGAAACGTCTTAAGAATCGTGGCCTCAAACCCTCCCCCTCCCCGTGTTTTTTTTAATTTTGTAACAGAAGAGTTCTGGAAAGCTCGCGCACGGTTTAGTATCACTCTCGCTGGCCTTCCTGCAAACGACGCAAAAACGGAACTATCCAAGAGAATGGCCCAGCCCTACCCCACCTTCCTGAGTAGATATAAGTTACCTGCCTACCATTTTTGTTCTTCTCACCTTGACACAGAGAGTACTCAATCTTTCTGTGTTATACCTCTGAGGAGCCCGGAAAATCTGCAAAAACGAATATCCAAGAGGGCTTTTTTTGCATGGGTATATAGGACTGTACCGTAATGAAATGGTTCAGAGAGTCGCACAGATAAAAAGACAGGGACTGTGGCCCGTCTTACTGTGTTGCTGCCTATCGCTGTCAGTCTGCTCCAAAGTAGAAGAAGAGAAGAAGAGATTGGATTTATACCCCGCCCTTCACTGCCCAAAGGTGTCTCAGAGAGGCTTACAAACTCCTTTCCCCTCCCCTCCCCTCCCCACTACAGACACCCTGTGAGGTGGGCGGGGCTGAGAGATCGCTTGACAGAAACTGCTCTTTTTCAAGAACAGCTCTGACAGAACTGTGGCTTGCCCAAGGTCATCTAGCAGCTTCAAGTGGAGGAGTGGGGAATCAAACCCGGTTCTCCCAGATTAGAGTCCGCACACTTAACTACTACACCAAACTGGCAAGCAAATGTATCATGTTTGAAATCTCATGCTCTGTTTCAGCTCTGTTTGGGATATCAGTTTGTTCCAGACTCCCTGGATGTTGGTCGCCCTTGACACACATAGGTAACCCACCTTGAGTTTCAGCGAGAAAGGCAGGCTGTGAATAAAATAATAAGAAGAAACCAAACAGGATCACAAAGAGACTGAAATCGAACCTCACTTTGACAACCGGAAACAAAAGCACTCGCATGGGCAATATCTGAAAGACGTAGAGGATAAAGTTGATCACAGAAACACCTGGAAGCGGCTCCGAAACGGGCACTTGAAGAAAGAAACCGAAGGACTCATTCTA